AGTAGGTAAGTAAGTAAGTAAGGAAGGAAGAACTGTTCAGGCACGGAGATGTTCGGGAAGGTTGGAACATAACCAGTCGTCGAAGACGATGGGTAATCCAGGTGATTGCCGAAAGAAAGCACCTGAAATGAAGGTACACCCTGGACACCTGAAACAGGTTCCAAAGATGACACCCCCACACACCAGACAACCTTACATCGAAAGATGAAGGAGTCGGTAATACCCTCCACAGCAACACAAGTGTTGTGTCACGGACCACAAGCCCTTAATCACCGCAGTGGTAAAAAAGGGTTGGGTGGGAGGGAAAGAATAAAAATCCCTGAGCTGAGAGGCTTGGGCCTGAAGAGCTACAGGGATCACGGTACCTGCAAAGTTCATGCTGCAAAAGGGCCCTACCCAACCAGCCTACGTTTTGCACACAAGGAAGGAAGGAAGGAAGGAAGGAAGGAAGGAAGGAAGGAAGGAAGGAAGGAAGGAGGAAGGAAGGACGGAAGGAAGGAAGGAAGGAAGGATGTATGTATGCATGCATGCATGTATGTATGTATGCTCGAGTTGAAAAATGTGTTTTACCCTGCGTCCCTCGTCGCCCCAATCTTCTTTGGTGTCTGCGTGTCTTCCTGTCTTACCTTCGGTGTGTGTAGCGGGGACACTCCAGTGAGCTAGACAAGGGATGGCGAGTGATTGCACAGGCCCTGCTAAGAAGCAAGTTGTACTCCATGAACTCTCCCATCCCAGGAGCCGGCGAACAGCGGCAAATAGCCTCGGCAGTTGGCGCTTGAAGCCGATGAGCTGCTGCATGCAGCCACAGCCTCGGATTCCCATGAGACGAGTCTACATTGTAGATTTCTAAGGCTATAGCAGAAGAGTCTGAAGACCGGGCTCGTGCATGGCATCCTCCATCCGTCGACTTGTCACCTGCCTCAACCCCATGGCCAAAGCACTGCAGGCGTGGCGAATGACCACCTCGACACTCTGCTCCTGACGAGGTCTTCCAAACCAGATGCATCACTCGGGTCTCCCTCGGCTCCTTGGCTCTTGCCAAGCCCCGGCAGCTGTTGGCCCGCAGGGCAGCATCTCTCCAACAGCGAAGCACACAAAGCATCAGGTAGTACCTTCCAGAGCAGTCTCAGCTTCAGACATCCTGACTGTGACTAGAAAAGAGAGCCCTCCCTGGCTTGCAGCAGAGGGGCTGCTTGCAGCCCTTGGCCGAGCAGAGTGCCGTCCGCAGCCGTTCTGCTGCGAAAGATTCTTGCTGCAGAGTTTGCTCCTGCGATGCGAGCTCCCAAGCTCACACAAAACTGCGAGGCGGGGCTCAAAGCAGCCTCGGCTGTGTCCTTGTATTTCAAGAGCTGAAGCAGGTGTACACGCTCTGCTTCACGCTGTTGCAGCTCGACCTCCAAGTCCTCCGAATTTGTGAATTTGCGAGTGAGGTCCAAACCCCTTCTCGGGCTAATCGTCCGAATGCACCTTCACGTCTTGTGTCTGCTTTGCAAGCAGCCGCCGCAGGCGACTCTGGGCGGCTTGGGCAGGGGCTGACATTCCCTTCGCCACAGGCAGAAGACTCATCTCCGTTTCTGATCGAAATGGTGCTCTGCACCACAAGGATGGCACCTGTTGGACGGCCATCGCACCAAGCGCCGAGACACAGCATCAGATCTGGCGTGATGTGGCGTGAGCATGTAGCCACGGGAAGTGCTACTCCGCCTCTGCAAATCGGTTTCTTTGATGGAACACTTTCGCACATGATTCTTGCTTGCACGTCTGGAGCGTGGGTTGATGTGAGCTGGGCGTCGGCGGTCGACACAACACTGACACACACTGAGCATTGCAATGGACTCACTCCAGCGAAGTCGAAGAGCCAACGAGTCCAGTGTCTAAAAACTGCTCCTGGTAGCAAGCCAGCCGACTAAGCGCGCAAGCAGACTCAAGCGTACAATATGCGCAGATCAAGAGAGCAGAGCCAATCCAAGCACAGGAGTACGAGCTCGGACACGCGGGGTTGAACATGACACTGAAGACATCTGAACACTCTGAGAACAATCGACCATCCGGATGTGACTGAGACATGATTGCAGTTGTCATCCGGACTGGGAACTCCGGCTGCTTAAAAATAGATCTCGGTGCATGCTCCTGATGCAGGGGTTGAACCTTTGACAAACACCCAATGATTTATTACCTAATGGAGTGTAAGCTGGCAAGCTCTTGGCTAACGAACGAGCCGAAGCTGGAAAAATCAAGTTTTAGAACCGCTTTAATTAACTTCTTAAAGCCGTCGCCAGTCACGTTGGGGAATGACGAACCGACGGCCGACCTTGTGTGATGTGAGAGAGCCGGGAGACACACAACACCTGGAAACGAGTCCTCTTTCCAGCCAAAGTGTTGCAGCTGGCCCTGGTAGAGCCAAAAGAACTGACCAGAGCTTCTGGGCAAAGCAGCTCACCTAAACCTCAAAGGAACTGTGAGCTTTTCTGGCTGTCTGAGCAATGCATCGTGAACACGATGAGTCGAGACAGGGGCAAGTCAGAGCTGGATGCCTACACTGAGTAAGCAGAATGCTTGCCAAAGCAAGGCATGCAGCAGAGGGCTCTGCAAGAGTCAAGTACTCCCGCAGTGCCACTAAAGAAAACCTACAGAATTAACCAAGCAGCGTGGTCTTTGAAAGACTCGCTGCGCAGCTTGGTCTGCAAAAGACCCGCCGTGCAAAAGGGTTCCGTGTCTGGGTGCTGGAACTGGAAATTTGGGGCAATAACTTGGAATCTGCTTCGCCACTGTCGCGATGCCAAACCTAGACCGCCCATGCATGAAGCCAAGCTTTGCTTAGCTGCGATTCAGGATGCGATGGATGCCTAAGGCTGGCAGTGATTGCATCGACTTTACCGTGTGTCGAGCATTCGCTCCAGGGCAACTGCGCGAGTATAGAAGCGTCGGCGACAGCAGGATGTAGTGCCTCCCAGTCAATTCTCATAACTCCTGCGTTTGCCATGCCGAACACCTTCTGTGCACAAGCAGGTCACCGTGCAGGACCGGGCGCACCCAACTGGACCAAGAAAGGTTGTGAACACCAGGCAGAGCAGCAACTGGCAGAAACACGAGTCTCATCACAAGTCGCTTGCAGACGGGTCCCTTAAACGAGTCAGGCAGACAATGACCGCCACTACCAGAAGTCCACTCTGATCCTGGGAACTGAGGACTGTGTCAAGACGCACCGGAGCTCCTGCGAAGAATCTTTGAGAGCCAGGCCCAGGCAAGCCCGTCGCATATGCTCATGGTCAGCACTGCCACCTCAAGTCTGAACGCTCTGTGAACTCTGAGGCGCATTCATTGTCAGAGGGTTTCGCAGTGTCGCAGTGGATTCCACATGAGTCTGGTGCTGTTCCCTGAGGCTGCTGCATGGTCTCGGAAGTAGAAGTGAAAGACATATGCACCCAACGTGGTGTTTCCCCACCTGCACATCTCACATACTGTAAACACTGTAAACACTCTAAGTATGTCACCAAAGCAGAACCTCAAACCCACTGGGGAGACCCGGCCAGGCAAGGTCAACGGGCACATAGGTCATTCCCAACCTCGAGTTCTCTTGGCTGTGATTCTTGGAGGCAGCCGGAAAGGGCTCTAAGATCTCCACACGAAGAGGGTGGGTTGAAGGATGTCGACTCCGATCTCGAGCCAAGCCCAGGCCTCCGAAAGTGCAGACTGCCTCCTCGGCTCCTCGAAGGCGAGGCCCAGGCCATACCCGTCCCCTTCTCAAGCACATTGTTGGGGTAGTGGAACCTGAAGGCCCAAGGACGGACAGAAAAAGCACCCTGGCCCTGGCCCGGTCTCGGGCACGAGCAAGGCCATCATCACCTGCACTGCACTTCGAAAGGCCCCTCCGACTCTCAAGGAGCGAGAGTCCCATGCTGGGGAGCGGGCCCCGATGAACATGCTGCAACCCAGGGCTGCAGCTGACCACGTCGGGCCCTGCACACGAGAGCCATGGAAAGCTTCGATGCTCCGAGCATCTTCGATCCTTCGGGAGCCGCTTGGACAGCAATGCCACTGCCGGCCTGGCAACAGGCACAAACACATCACATCGCTTTGTTCAGCACATCGGAACACAGCTCGGTACCTCAAATAGTGGAAGCTCCAAACATAGAATGCCAGATACCTTACCAGGTACATCCGATTATCTACAGTACACCAGCTCACCTGATACATCTGGCCAACAAGGCACCATGACACCCAGCGCATGTACATGGGGCATCCGGTTCCAAAGTTTCGGAAAATCCACCTTAGAAGCGACATCACATGAGCTCCTTGACTGTCATTGAATTCCTTTCCATGCTGCGCAGCACACACACACACACGTCACAGGACTGCCAAGCCACGAGAAGGTCCACATCACGTATGTCTGAGCCTGAGCTGGCCATGAACCGCGAAAGTTCGGTTTCTGTGCGTCTAACGTCTGGTCCCAACCAAAACGTGGTCACGGGTGTTGCTGCTGGCTCTTTGCGTCATTGCTTCGAGCAGTGTCTGCCAGACCGGTATTCACAGCCACAGCAAGCTGTGGTCCCGTAGAGTTGCTTCCCTCATCCTGCTTCGACTCGAGCTTGCTGCACGTTTGCTCGCTTGTTCATGGTGGGCGATAAAGGCATCTCCGATCTTGGACAAGTGCGGGCACCCCTAGCGCAGCTGCCACAGCAGTTGCTGTGCCATGGCCTTCCAGCATCGCATCTGAAGTTGCCAGGCTGTGAAGGAAACTCCTTTGCACTGGCCACCCGGGGTAACCCTGGCCAGGTCGTTGGATGTGGTCTTCTTTCAGAATATAGAATTCGGGGATACATGGCTTCTGCGAAAGACACGACGGACCAAGCACATGAAACATCAGCGAGTCCATGCGGTTCAAGGCCACACGTGATTCCTCGACTCCCTGCACGATCACGATTTGCAACAGGTGTCATGTCATCTCTGCTGTGTTACTACCAGTAGGCGGCTGTGGCTACGACATTCTCACTTTGGCAGATGTTGAATGTGAAGGGCCGTCGGCCGGGACCTGGCAATGCAGCAACGCAGTGGCAATGACCTCATCCCTTGCCCTTGCCGCCCTTGCCTTCCACAGCAGAATCGGGCAGAATGCACCTCAGGGTGCACACAGTGGAAACGAGTACAGTGCTGACATCCGGCGAAAGTCAGCTCGGTGCGGGATTGTGGCCAGGATGCCCTGTAACCAGCCCGGTACCTCCATACATATTGTTCTGGTCTTTCGCATGGCAGCTTCTTCCAAGTGGCACCAGCGTAATGTCACTGCATGCACTAGACGGATGAAACAAGAATGTGGCATGTTGAATCCGTCAACAAAGTCACACAATGTGGCTTCTCTGCTGGAAACATCGCTTACTCAGGCCGCCGTCGTATTCCATAAGGGCAGGCAGCGGCAAGAAAACCACGACTGCAGCTGCTGCTGCGCGTGCTAGTCGAAAGATAACGGGCTGAAAGCCGATCGCCCACCAATGACAGCATGGATGTCGTCGTGTTTGCTTCGCATTTTCTGCGCTTGTACCAATTTGGGAAAGGAGTTCGATAACTGGCTACAGTGCCAACAGAGCTTGTCTTTCTCTGTCTTGTCGCCTTGATGCGCTCGCATATCTCCAGGTACAGCCTGGCCTCAGCAGGTCGCAGAGCTCAGGCAAGCTGACTGAGAGTTAAGTAAGGCGCGGACGCAGAAAACCATGCCAAGATACCACCTGTGATCCGATGTGTACGAGTTCACCTGTCATGCCGGTGCGTCCGTACATCCCTCCGTCTAGTCGTACGTTTTACAGCCCAACCTGCATGTAGCTCCAGCCCCACTCATTGGTCGGCGCCATGCCACCTCCCGGTTCACAGGTCTCACAAGCTGACCGCGCACACACACGCACGCAGGAAACAAGTCGATCCACCCCAGTCGATCGGCCAGGCATACTCCCGGAAGATGAAGTGCAAGATCTGGGGCAACGGCAAAGCCTCGACCGGCAAGAACAGGAAGGCAAGACGTGGTGAGCCGCCGTTTCGAAACTCTGTAGGCTCTAGGCCATGGCCATGTAGACGATGAAGACAAAGAAATCCTGGCATCCAGGAACTGGACGGGCATTGGACTGGAGTCCAGCGGAGTCCAGTCCTTCATCCCAAACTTCACGCTTGGAGGCCCTCCGGGGGTGGCCGGCCGGGAGTCCTGGTAGGCTCCCAGCATGATGAAGCCTGGGCTTGAAGAAGTGGCAATGGGAGGCACTGAAGCATTAGATCATTTAATGCCAAAGGATGGAGGATGCCAGACTTCTGCACCGATGTGAGGCAAACGGGGCATTCTCTGAGCTTCTGACCAAACAAGTCTTGATCATTCCCCAAAGAGCGAACAAGGATCTCGGACCAAGGCTTCACGGCTGTCCTGGTCAAGCAAATGCCTCTGGGCCTAAGCTCTGATGTGCGACTGGCTAAACGTCTCTACATTTCCCGACTCATGACTTTTGCATGGTGCCGCTCCCAACTGCACAAATACCTCAAGGGGAGTTCAGAGTCGTGGAATCCTTGCCAAAGTCGTGCAGAAGGGATAGTACTGGTTGTCGGAGTCCATGTCGATGGCACAGCCTCTGCTTGCGGCAGGTTATACAACCGGATGTACCCGAACAAGTTGCTGTAGGATCTAACTAACTCTCTCTGCATGCATCTCTGAAACGCATGTAGTGATCCGTTAGGACGCCAATCATCCACCACCTAGCGGCAGTAGGCGGACCGGACCGGCCTGTTCTGGAAAATTGCCACGACTGCCCGAGGCACTAAGTCACTAAGTGCTCTGCGCATAACATCTGTGGATCACCTGGCCGATCGTGACGGCGGTGCACTTACTAAGTCTGAGCTCGTCTTGCCGCCTACCTGATTCTCGAAGATGGCCCACTTGGACAGCTTCTTCATCTGGCCTAAAGAATCCATCACAACCTCAGCTGGCAGAGTGCGGGTTTTTCTCCATGGCTACATAGCTGGTCGGAGCCGGCCTCGCCCTCTTCCACCACGTGGTCCGTGGCCATCTCTGCCAGCTGCTTCAAATTGGACCTAAACTTCCGAACTTCGCAGATCTCCACAGCCTTGCAAGGACACTCCAGGTGCCGTGCTTTCCGTTTGGAAGCTTTGGAAGCTCTTGCAAGATGACAAAGAACCTTTCAGAAGCGCGGGCGATTTCAAGTGGCTAAGGCGCCAGAGCCCGAGCTGCCGGCTTTGGAACGTAGGAGGGCGTGAGATTCGCCTCTCACCGGAGCAGTAAACAGAGCGACTGATCTACCACAAATACACATGACGGATCATGACGGCATCTTTTTCCAGCTTGTTGCACTGCAGAGAGAGCCTGCACCACCCAAGCGCTAATTAATGGGAGCACTGTGTTGGACAGTACTACGAGGCGTTATCAATAACTCCCCCCCTCAAGGAGTCAAGCTGCAACTGTTTCCTTCTGGCGGACTACTGCCTGCTCAAAACAACAGCCGGCTTATCTGAGACGCAATTCATCACGCAGTTCAACAAGATCGATACATCAGCAGGTCCTCATCAAGGATCAGCTGCTGCCGAATCATTAACAGCATTGTCAGCTTCATCAGTCAATCCTGGCAAGGTCGGGCAGCCCTGCATGGAAACCTATGTGGGTTCAAACGGTTCAGCAAGGGAAACGCGTCATGTCATATCTTGGAAGAAAGACAGACCAGTGCCACCGAGTGAGCTTGGCTGATGCACCACTGATGCTCGGATCAACGAACCGACAAGCCGCCCACACAGCACCAACTGCGCTCGAAATCAAAAAACAACGGCGAAAACCATGAAAGACAAGAATCCGCACCGCAGCCGAAGTGAGATGTGCTAAGTACATTCAAAGGCTAGTGCTGATTCAAGTCGAGACTGCAAGAAACTGCCCGCAAGACATCAACCCGTCGCATCCTCAGTGGCTGTTGATGTCAGCATCCGGCCGGGGAACACTACTGCATACAACATGCCGAAAGTCAGAGCAGTCTCCTTGGTTTCAGCACCACCGGGGCTCTTCCTCGCGAAGCACTTCGCGACTGGCGGCATCGTCTCCTCCACTCTTCCATTTCATGCAGGTTGCAATTTGTCAGATACATGTCGATCTGCTCACGATTAGAAACTCAGCATTTCCAGGCTTGAACCGGGAGTGCTTGATGACTGCTTGGCTCATAACACGGACATGCACTCCGGACTGCCTGCTGCGCGAGCGATGCGGGTATTGCCTGTCACGAAACGACAAGCGGTACGGCCTAGTACAGCTAGTCAGCTAATAGCTCGGCACAAGCGCGGCTCCTCAACTACAGATACAGCGCACTTTGCTCTCGCCCGAGGGCACCAACTCCCTGCTCCACGCTACACCCGTTGATGAAGGACTATCCATCCCTTCAGAGCGCCGTGTAACGTCCCCACATTCATCGCCGGGACACAAGCGCTGCTCCTCCTGCTCCTCCTGCTGCAGCTTGAAGTGGAAGAACTCCGCATCTGCACGGCGCGACTTCTTTCTCGTCTAACATTCGTCTAAACGACATCCCGCCAGCGATGCTTATTGCTGCTAGTCTGAAAACCCATCAAGGAAAAACTGCATGGTGGGTTTAGTAGTTTTCAAATTGTTTATCAATTTTTCTAAGATGCTTATCAAATCTTTTTGAGATGCTTATCAATCTTTTGTTGATGCCTATGCCCAGATTGGTCTGCCCTCGTTTCGTTTTGCGATGTCGCAGGGCAAGCATCAAGAACTTACGGCTCCATGAGTACATCAACGTTGTGACATCCAGGCTTGTAAGTTTCAATCGTCGGCAAAGCCAAGTGCTTCTTTGGATGCAGTTGCACAAATTCCGGCTTCGGGTATGTCAGGGAACACCTTGGTACAGTTCCAGGCTGGGCATTGGCGATTCGTTGAGGTATCCAGATTTGAGAGTGCTGTCGTGCTGGTCACACAGCTTCAGCGAGGATGAATCACACGCCTTGAACGCCAGAGAAGAGCTTAACGTCATTAGCAAATCGAATCACGAAAGCCACGCAGAGGTGTCAGAACACTGCCCTCCGAAAGGTATTCGGGGTCGCATATGCCCCCGCTCAACATGAAGATGCTTGCACTTCATGGATAAGCCTGCAGGTCCAAAGGTGAAAATTGGATGGCAAATCTGAGGTTCGGGCGGCCAGTGAACTTCCTGGTTTCTTGCTCGTCTCAGCTGTCCGATTCACCCATAACCCCAACAGGCCCTCTTTCCTCCACGCAGGAAAATCCTGAGCAAGTAAACCTGTGGCCGCGAACTACGGGAAGACAGCAAAGGACGGCCACCTCGAAGGCACGCATCCACGAGGGGGCGATCAAAGCGCTCCGTGCGCATATAGTCTCCAATTGCTTGCCTGGGGCATCTGGGAAGAAAGAATCCAGAACTGTGCGACACTTCTGTGCCACTCTCACTCCTTAACGCAAGTGAAGCCCTGCCGGCCTGAGCCGTTGGATGGCCTGGTCCAGCCTCCATGAAAGCATCGCATCGACCAGCGAGACACATCAGAGCTGATAAGGCCAGGAAGCTTAACCAGATCACCCTTCTGCAGCTGTACCGTCTGAGAGCCGAGATCTTCAAAAGCCGCCGTGCAATTTTGGCGCTCCTGCCCCATGCTCAACTCAATGTGGTGTCTTCGTTAGACAGCAGGATGGTCGAGATCAACATTCTTTAAGCTTCAGCCGCCATAGCTGAACCCGCTGCGATCTTGAACTCGCCGCCTGCACCATCTTCCGGCGAGCAGCTGTTTGAGTTTGCATCATCGTCCGGCGAGCAGCCGCTGGAGTAGCTTTAGATGCCAATCGTGGTGCCTGCCACGGGCTAAGGGAGCTTGGGACAACAGGTTTAGGGGGGATATGCGCAGGGGGCGGCCTCTGCGCAGGGGGCGGCCTCGACGCGGCCTTGTTTGGCATGTCGTGGCGTCTGTGGCGTCCGGGTGCTATCCTTGGCAGCGTCAGCACTTAGGCGGAGGCAGTTTTCAGTCGAGAGCCTCCATGGCTAATGCAAGTCACAGTCAGTCGAGGTCAAGTTATAAGACGAGGAATATAGGCAAGGCACCGGGAAATGAAGCAGTGCTTTGCTGCTTTCGCTCTGTGGTATTGCGGAACCCTGAGGCTCACGTACTCTTCTCTCCTCGGTTTGGAGCGGGGCAAGGCAGACACTATTCATCATGCATGTTAAGTTCCTTTCCACAGTTCTAAATCCTGCAGTCGAGTCACAGTGTTCCTTGTCGGCTGAGGACCTCTAGCATGTCGTGTCGGGAGGTTTGCCTTTGACGGGCACCATGTTTAGGATCGCAGGTGGAGGTTGCATCGAGGAAAGTTCGAATGGCCGATGATGCTGGCAAGCGTCCTGCTTCGAAGCGGGTCTCGGCTTGCCCTGAGCGGATTCTCACGTCAACCCTTTGGACTCTTTGTTATCGCTTAACTCAGCAGTGAAGCGAAATGAAGCAGTTCAGAGGTGAGTTGAGCAGCTCGTGCAAACTGACAACAAAAGCTTTCACTCTTCGGCGCATAGATCCCTGACGATCGGACTTTTTCAACTGCATTCACTTCGGTGGCGTTTCTGCGATTCGACTCCATCGGAGTCGCATCCTTTTCCATCGATGTATCCTATTTCTTACCGAGGTAGTTTATCGATGTTCTGGGGGACCGACCGTTTCCCGGTCGGCTCTCGCAGAAAGAAAGCAGAGGAAACTCGGTGAGACATTAGGAAGGGCGGGAGAAGACAAAAATTAAAGGATCTTAAGCCAAATGGCAACGGATGCATCCAACCAATTCGCGTTCACTCGGATTCTGCAGATCCACTTACAATCCGATGTGTGTTGGGTGGAAGCAAAAGGTTGTCACTTCGCACACAGGTGTGCTATGCATGCAAGGGTCAGAGGAAGAAAGAACGACAAGCACACACTCGGGCATGGAAGTGCCCAACTACACCAATACCTCCGAATTTGCCAGGCCGCCGTGAAGACCTCCCGCTTTCTCTTCGAAGATTCCTATGCAACAGTTGAGGAGTGCCAGTGTTTGCCTGATGAGAGACGCTGCAAAGACTCCCATCCTGCCGCGTTGTCCGTGTGCTCGTCTTTGCTGGGCTAAGTTCGCACTGGCACTCGAGCACACCTGCGAGTCTCTTGAGTTTCCAGACGATGGAAGCGCAGCACCACGAAGCGAAGCATGCTTTGAACGAGAATGCACCTCCCTCTTTCGCGTTGGTGCGCGTTCCAGGTTCGCTTGTTTGCGAGGTTGCCTCCAGCACTTCTAAGTATTCCGCTTTCCACTAGTCTTCTAGTCTTCAAACGACATACCCCGAAGGCAAGAGAAGAACACTGCCTGTGGTGGAGGTGGCATCTGGCTCGAAGGAACCTCATGTACAACCAACACGAGCCAGACACAAAAGAAGCGACCAACCAACAGCATCATGGGCCCTCTGTTCGTCCGGAAACTATCTGGCAAGAGATCTGACAGCGCTCCAAGCCGGACTCATCATCACCCACGTGCTTGCCATCCCACTGTACCTTGGTCGAGTGTTGTCTTACAGTCCTGCCGCTCTGCCACACTCCGGAAGACATGCGCCCATCGAACAGCCAGCCATGGAGTTGAAACCATGCCAAGCTGCAACAAACTTTTCGGAATTCGCTGCATCCTTCAACTGCCTATAGCTCACGGCATGAGACCGTCGTGTGCAAAAGAATGTCAACAGCGACCAGGATAAAATGCGACACCAAGCCCAGTCGCACGTAGCAGCTGACTTCTGTTTCGCTTCGCACCATACTGACCTTATGCTCGGCACATACAGAACAACCGTCCAGCCTGAACGATTTGCAGAAGGGAACTCCGGTGTTCCAGGCACTCGGGCTGTTGACATGCCGCCATAGAAAGCAAACAAGACTTTCAGGCTGGTCTCCTGGATGCAGGTGGATTGGGGGTGTGCCTTCCTCGTTTGCTCTGCCGAACCCACGCTGCAGTTCGTACAGATCTGTGTCACCCACGATCTCTGCCCTTACCTACGACACCTCTCCGTCCAGCTCTTGGCGAGGCCACGGACCAGGACACAGGGCCTCGCCATGGCACTTTCCAGCGCGCTTTGAAGCCGATCCTGCCAAGGCAGGATGCACAGTCAGAGCTCTGGAGTTTCGAGCTCCAGGCAGCAAGCTGGAGCAAGACATCTTTCCTTCAGCCCCGAGCGAGTTGCTGGAAGATCAGCTGCTGCACCTGCAGATAGCCGACCGCAAAGAAAAGCCAACTGCAAGAAGCGAAAGCAAGCTGCCCCAGTGCTCATGGCTCACCTTTCCATTCGAAGCATAGACGCTGCTTTAGCCCGTCTCCGAGCAGCTGAAGCCTCGACACAAGACGGAACAAAATGCGCAAGTCCTCAAACTCCATCGTGTCGATCTGGTAATCTGGCAATGTGCGACTCATTTATGTGCAGCTTTTCTGGCGCCGCCCTCATGCTGCTTGCGGCCAAGATGCGACTGGCATTGCAACTCCAACCTCAGAGCTCATGTTAACACGTTGCACACTGGAACAAAGACTGTTTAGGCCAGGCAGCTCTGCTTCCTGGACGATGCTCTGCCTAAGCTTCGCACTGTGCATCTGTTGCGACGTGGTCAAGGGCAGGTTGAGCTGGAGCGCGCTGTTTCTCTCCAGGCAATCAATCGCTCTGAGAACGACCAGGCCGCTCGGCACTTCTCGGGCCTCTGCCTCAGCACGTACGAGATCCTCTGGGGCCGAACGGCCAAAGTGCTGGCAAGAAGCGGTATCTCCAGCAACATCCTGTGGTTCAAGGTGGAGTGTCACGGCCGCACCGAAAACTATCTCTCGACCATGACATGATGATGTGTGCAGCGACCCAGTGCGTCCTGGCCGCAGCCTCATGCCTCTGGAACCGAACATAGCCTGAAAGTGAACTGCCGTGTGACGAAGGTCTCCACCCGGTTGAGGGATCAAAACAGACACAAACGCATCAAAAAAGAAACCTAAAATGTACTTAAGAAACAAACCAAAATGCCAAAATGAATCAACAAATAAATTAAGTCCTGTCTTGGGCTGGGCTGGGCTGGGCTGGGCTGGGCTGCCACACTCATCACTAGGCTGTCGCAAGAGGCAAACAGGTCTGCTGCAACGCTGCAACTGCCTTGGAGCCCTCGACTGCATGCGCGAGAGGCATCCGAGGGCAGAAGAGGAGAGTGGAGCACGAGACAGGCTGAGTGAAACCGGAGACCGCAACTGAAGTCAAGTGGAGAAACAGGAATGCATGCGTTCTCAAAAAAGTAGGATGGAAGGCGTAACGAGGAACAACATATCTGTCCGAGCAGCCGCACTTGCCCAGCCATTCGTGACTCTCGAACGGCTCAAAAGGGACTCTGCTATCCAAATCCTGCTTGCTTCCACCTTGTAACCACAAGAACAATTTGGCGGGTAAAAGATCTGGCAAGTTCCAGAGGAAGAGCTCTCGCCGTTGAGCTGCTTCCGATTCCGCTTCCCAACCTTTGAGAGTGCTGCTAGCGAGCAGCTCATCCACGAAGGCCTTCTGCCTTTGGGTCGTTGAGCTTGGAAGAAACCTGGCTGTGGCTGCCGCCCTCTTTGTAGCAAATTTGGCATTCAGGCTTTTCACGGCCGTGGTTGCTATTTCTCTCAAGGGATAGCCCACTCGAAACTGACCATCCGTCTTGTCGTCTCGATACGGCCCCAAGATATCACCATATCTTTTGCACATTCTCTCAATGTCTGAGGAACTCCATGCAGCTGGCAAAGATGTAAGCTCGATCCAATGGCACTGGTCCTGCTGCGTGAGCGGTGGCCTTTGCAGAGGCGCGGGAGACGTTCGAGATGTGTGAGCGGCTGTCTCTGCCTCCTTGGGCTCCACGGCCACGGCAGTGGCTTGGCTTGAGGTTGACGGACGCGGAGGCCGCAGACGTGCTCCTCTCTGGGCACTTCGGGCTCCTTCGCCTTCGCCTTGGCGCCTGAGCTCGGAACAGCAACAGCAGCAAGAGCGCACTCTTCAGAGCCAGGCTGGGCAACAGGCCTTGGAGCGACGGCGGCTTCCTGCAAAGGGGATGAAGGACCTCCTTTGCTTCCTGGCAAGCCAGGCTGGCTGTGGCGACGTGGGGCCGGCCTCGGATGCTCTGCACTGGCGTTTTTGACGGCATGAGGTTCTGACACGTCTTGCGGCGACCGAGTCACGGAGTGCAAGGCGTCCTCACAAGCAGACACTACACCACCTTCTATTGAGCACTCGCCTCACATGCTCAAGAAAACCGTTCACAAATCAGCGACAGTCCGAAGAACTGAATCTGGGGCCTTATGGAATGCCGCTTTCTCCCCAGGCTTTGTCGTGCAGAGGCATGTTCCGCAGAGGCATAGGCATTGAATCTGCCGGAATCTCCATGCACTCGTCTGCCCACCATTGCACATGCCACAGGCTCAGAGATGGGCGGCTGAAGCAGTAAGGCAAGGACCAACAGGCACACAGAACATGCTTCTTTCTTGGTATGAGCTGTGGCAACTTTGCACATGCGAAGCCTGACAATGAGCCCGCAGGGTGTCTGGAGTCACAGCTCCATCCAAGCCTAGCAGACACGCACACACGAAGAAAACCTTAGCCCTGCTCTGCGCCGCTCAGCCGCCTTCGCGGAGGCTGACGAAAGCTACCAGCTCAGCTGGCTCCTTCGAAGCCACCACTGCGACCTGCTGAGCACTCGGCCCGACTCGCTTCGGACAGGCTGGGCTCTAGCTCTGGCCTGGCCTCTTTGAGCCCTGGTCGTGGACCACCTAGCTCAAGGCCAGACGGCCCAGTGTCCTGCACAGACTTAGGAAGTCACGGCCGGCATGGCGAATCTCACCAGAATCGAGAATCTCCTCGCTGGTCGCATAGTGATACCTGAAAGCAGCTCCGAAAGCTTCGAGCCAGTTTTGTGTATCTCGCCGAATCTCCTCACCTTCTGAGGACTGCTTCGACCTCTTCGGGCTCAACACGAACTCCCCGGATTTTCACCTCACAGGCTCTCGGACCCTGGGGAGGACAAGTGATGCGGGGGTGGGATCCCCTCTTGCGTTTTGCCGAGGCCTGTCGATCAACGCGGCCAATCACCTGAAAAGCTCCGAAGGTGAAGATCTCCGCCCCGACAGCCGAGCTCTGCCTCCAGCTGGCCCGCTCTCCAGCGGCCCATGTCTCCAGTCCGGTAGAGTCTCCCGAGGTCCTGCAGAAAGCCGACAGCCTGGACCCTTCATAGTAGAACAATCCACCCAACGACATGAGCGAGACATCGTCCTTCGTGTCGATCCACTTCTGGGCAGTCAGCTCGTCATGCTTCCAATAGCCTCGATCCCCAACATGCTAAGCGATGCATGGCTGAGCGGCGCTTAAGAGCATGTGTAAATCGAATACACAGGCAAGGCTGTGCAAGGCAAACGTGCCCACACCCTGGCATTGAGACACGCCTGCAAAACTCCAGAAGAGTGCTGTTAGCCTAAAGCTTACTGTGCACATCGTGATAGCTCGACGGGACACTCACCAGCAGTACAAGGCATACTCCTGCTCTTGCAACTGCCGAGGCTGCAGCATGCTGCCAGAACGCCGCCAAAGCAAATCTCGCCTGCCTTTAGACTATTGAATTGCAACAGTTCGAGGACAGAAGTCTGAAAGTCTGAAAGTGAAGGCTCCGCTGATGCTGCTGCCCTTCATCTGCCTCACCACCTGGAACTGGCACCAGAACAGGAGGTCCAGATTCCTACATGGTGCAGGCGGCATCACGAGGCTCACCAAACCAACTGCACAATGCAGGAACTTCCAGTCTACCAGCAGATGTGCCTGAGCTTCTTCTCTCATCACGAAGACTTTTGCATGTGGCTGTGGCCGACCGCATGGGGCCTCCAGCCAAGAATCGTTCGGCTACGCAAAGACCCAGTACATACCATTTCGACAGACACAGTACCTTGGATGGAAAGATGTCCAGGTCGATGCCTTCTTTGGGTACGGTGTACACCTGCCATGGCACAAGCACTTGCAGACGCACAGACCCACGCGCGCACACACACACACAAAAAAAAAAACACACACACACACAAAGCGATTCTGAAGCATGGTCAGAAATCAAGACATGTGGGCTACACAGTGCAAGAACTCTCAGATGCTCCGTAGAAGTTGTGGAGCTGCGCCTGCACGAAAGGAGGACACGAAACTCGCAGTGCAGTGAGCACTGGATGTTTTTCTCTTAGTACTCAACTGGCAGCCTCCACACCTCTGGTGCGCACAAGACCTGTCCAGTCAGGGCCGAGACTATACACGAAGCCAAAGCTGGACAACCTTTTAGGCAAGTTACGATTGGCGACTGCACATCCCAATGGCTCGCCGACGGTGACAATGTGCTTCACCTTGAGCGTACTTGAATGCCAGATCTCCCTTCAGGCCAAAGATTGTCAAGTTCCATGTCAGTACTCAGCCACCACTGTTTTGAACCCGTTCCACGGGTGACACATGCTTTCAGCATGCCCAAGCTGGTCACCAACATGCCCCGGTCTCTTACCGGGAACAGCTCCGTCAGCTCAATCACAGGTGCCATAGTCCTTCGCCTTTGTGATCATGTCCCGCTTGTCAGGGTAACCTTCGGCAACATAAAAGAGGAAGGGAGAACTGTTTGATACCCCGTCGCCGACCACGAACTACCCCCAGCAGACCAACAATCACTATGACACCTTGCAACCACCTGCCGCGATCAGATCAAGTGCGTGGTCTGCCAACATCCAACAGATCTTCCACCACCCCGCAACACGAAAGGGGCCATGATCTTTCTCATGTCCGAGGGGCAGATGAAAGGCGTAGGCACCTTCCCCGGCCAGTAGTTCATGTTCTCAAAGATGCAAAGCGCGGCGGGTGCAAGGAAGATGCGGACGACGTAGACATCAAAAGCCACCCCGAAGCAGTACAAACAACCTCAGAGCCAGTTCGCACACGGCTTTTGTTGGCTGCACTGCCAGGCTCAGATGCTACAAGTTTGAGGCAGTGACCCATCTGTGCAATCACCGGCACGGAGGACAGGAGAACAAACGCAAAAGATATCACCATGATCGTCCCTGCCAGGGTAATGAGAGGGCCTGTTTCTTCAAGGCTCAGGCGCACGGCTGAGGCGTTGTCATAGCCCTGTTGTCTGCGTTCGTAGACACGGGCGAAGAGGAAGAGGTCATAGTCCATCGCTAGTGCAAAGAGGAAGCCGCAAGTGCTGTGAACCATTGTCCACTTTAAGCCACCTGTGGCATCAACACCGGCCCAGGCAAGCCATCCATCTTGAAAAACGCCAACAGCAAAGCCGTACTCAGCCACAATCGGCAGCGCAATCGTGAAGACCTTGCACGGAGCTGAGCTTCAATTCATTTCAGCACTAGCTGCGGTATGCTATCGTTGCTATCGATGCCTGCTACAAGTCTCCCAGGCTTGTTTGATAATTTGCTGAAGATCTACATGCAAGGGTTCCCCTAGCGTGCTGTTTGTTCATTGTCCTTGTTGCACCTGTGCACTGACCTCGTTTGATGCACCTTGCTGTTACCCTTACAAGCTGGCAGCGAGAAGTAGGATCAAACGCACCCTTCAGCTGGCATGGCTCTTAGACTTCCAATTCCGTGGTCTTAAAGCCAATTCTCTTTGTTTACAATCGTCCTGTAAGCAACTTGCACGAAAGACAACCCGACACTGCCCAGAAATGTGCTCGAACCGGTTGCGAGTCCCTCACAAAGTTCGTGTTCAGAGCAGATCAAGGCTTGGCTTCGGGTGCACATGAAGAAACCTGGTCACCTGGACCCTTGCACAGTGACATCCATGGCTGACTGCCATCGCACCCGACCAAGCCGCGGACCATCTTGATTCCAACAAAAGCGGACTGGAACAAAGCAGTCACCATGCAGCACACAATGGCCAGGGTGATGCCCAGAATCCAAGGGGCAGAGTGCCGGTACTGAGCTTCCAACAGCATATTTTCGGCAACCGGTGTGTAAAGATGCAAAGAGAAGAGGGTTTCTCCGTGCCCATTCTGAATCGACACCTTGGGTTCGATAACTTCCCAAAAGTGACGAATCAAACGTTGAGCTTCCGCTCCTTGCAGGTTGTCGATGTCGGGGAACATAAACATTCTCTGGGAAACACCGTCATCGGAAATGAACTTATCGTGAAAGTTCGGGTTGTGTACGCAAGACCCGGTCAGAGAGTCCCACCAGTATCCAACCATCTCGTGTCTATTCACATTCGCAGATTGGCACTTGTCGTCGCTTAGCACCGTTCTCGCAACATGACAAGCTGCTTCCTGAAATGGTTTGCTTCGCGTCCAGTCACTCGTATCCACAAGGTCGGAAGAGTTTGCGAGTAATTTGGAAGCAGTCATCAACAGTGTCATCTGGCTCCCCTCTCGGTTATCGAACTTTTTCCGAACCAAGTCATAAGCATGATACTCAGGGACAGATGTAGAAAAGTCGGTGAGGGTCACATCAAAGTTTGCACGAAGATGCCACATGTGCACCATTAGGGGACTGCAGCATGCCAAAACAAGAAACGGCGCTACATAGTTCCAGGGTCTGCATGTGATCGTGTCTGCTACGGGCCTAAAGAAACCACGCTGAACCACTTTCGATCCTCGTCGCATCCAAGACGACAAGATATTGCTCTCATGCGGCTCGTCGAACACTGATGGAAATATGGATACCAAAACCGGTGGCACCGCGATGCTGTACAACCCAACAAACAGGCTTCCGAATGCCAAGTTCAAGGTTGTATACAGGTAGCCTAGCTTGTTCAAGTCAGGGTAGCAGCTTGCACCAAGGAATGTAATCACAAGAATAGAAGTGCTGAGGAGAATGACAAAGCCTGAGGTCTGCAGTGTTTTCATGAGCACGACATCCACCTCTGCTGCTGTACGCGATCGACGCTCTTGTGAGAAGCGCACCCAGAAGAACAGTGCATAGTCAAAGGCAAGGGCCAACTGCACGAAGAGAATCTGAGTGTCAGGTCCGACCATATTCAAATCTGGCCAAAGCGCCTTGACCAGTACGACCAGGCTGCGCGAGGCCGGAACACTGCCAAGAAGGCAGAAGCACGGTGTAATGGCACGTGGCAGCGTACCAACACCGAGAATCAGTAGCAGTACCAGAAGCGGTGTGCTCAGTGTAAGATGAAAAAGCGTCTCACTGTCGCATTGCTCATAGGAAGCATCGACCACGGAATGCGGGCCGGCCATCGCTACATTGAGTTTGCCAAATCTGCGGTCCACTGTTTGGACGTACTCACGGATTCTGTACAAGCATGGGTTGCGGTGTCCGATAGAAGCTCTAGAATGCAGGTCGAGCTGCAGAACAGCAGCATCTTCGCTCTTTGCAAGCTTCGCAGACTTCCATTCCAGTTTTTGACATACATCTGTCTTCTGCAACTGCTTCAGCTCCTTCTCGACAGCTTGGGTCAAGTCCGAATAGTTGTGGTGTCTCTGAAGTTGTGAATCAAGACTCCATATCAAAATGGCATCGGACAGCATACCTTCAGCATTCTGTCCGAAATCGTCCCGCAAGGACTGCACAGCACTCTTCAGCCTCCCATCAGGGCCAGGAGGAAGCTTCTTCTGGCCGACATGACTGCACAGTTCGATGATACCCGTACTGGCCTGGTGTTGTATGGCTCCAGGTGGAGAGGCTGCACCTTCAAGGCCTCGGATGCTGGGGCGAAACGGCGGGCGGCGCCGAAGCTCAAAGAAAAACTCGAGGGAATCAGTAGCCTAGAGCTTTGCATGTTCTGCCTAGCAGCGGAATAGGATGCGGATGTCCAAATAGAGATGAAGAATGCGTGAGTAAGCAGGCAGGCGCTGCAGATAGGTCTCTTCAGGAGGAGGTCAAAGCCCGCGAGAATCGGCCTGGGCTTTCGGATGTGCCGCTCATAAAATTCGAAGGCAGAGGCTCAGTTTCGGACTTGCTCGTGATCAGCTCACACTCGCTGGCTTGGACATCCTCCTGAACCATTGCAGCGGGGCCTAGTGGGCAGGAGATCTGGAGCCATAAAGGCTGCAGACGACTTGCTGGAGATCCCAGCTTGTCGACCAGCTACCGTAGACCCTGAGCGTCGCAACCACCACTAACGGCAAGCTACATAAATGCTGAGATGACTCACATGCATGCAGGACCATGAAATTCTGGGCAAATGAGACCCACACTGAACGTAGAGGCCTTGCATTTCCTTGAGAGTCATGTACATCCAGGACTAGGTCGAGAACCTTCCACATGCACTCACTGAGCAGGGCTTCCGAAGAATCGAGGGCGCGAACGGCCTGTGGGGTAACCATGAAGACGCTGACCTGGCAGAAAGCAGACATCAGACATGCCCAGCATCATCTCCGAAAGGCTTGCCCAAACGTCAAATGGCCCGAAACGGTCAACAAATCCGAAGCCTTCAGAAAACCATCACTCCCTCTTTCTGGAGGGTGGAACCCTGGGGCCGGCAGAAGTACTTTTGAAATAGAGGGGGCGTGGTGCAACTCTTGTAAGCGCCCTCAGCTCGAAAACGAATCATGTTGAATGGGTCTTCCTCGTGCCATAATTCTACTAGACATTGACATCGAAAGCATGAGTAGCATCATCTTTGTAACAACTGACAATACATGAATACATGTTTCCGTGCAAAACAGTGTAGAGTATGCAACATTGAAACCCAAAGATATCGGCTCCGCATATCGTCACATTATACAAGTTTCAGCCATGTCTGTTGCATGTGTCAGATGTTAAACGTTTAGATAGCATTAGTCATAACCAATGCATGTCAATTTGTATGTAGGTCTTCTGCAAGTCAACCCTGCTGTGCAAGCGACCTAAACTTGCATAGTTTCAATGTTCAGGCCATGTAGCATCTTAACCGGGAACATGAGTGTTGCGGGGGTGCATGTCTGTCACGTAAACTACAATTACTTACGAATGTCTACGTGAGGGTTGTGGCTTAGATACACCCTACCACCACAAACGAACGGTGGTAGCTTCCGAACCCTGATTTTGTGAAGGATGGTTGTCTTTGTGTCGTATCGCTCTTTTTCAAACCCCCTCACTTTCAGAAACGGATCCCATCGGATCTCATTGTCCATCTCCACTGTCTATCTCGCTAGATATCTGAGGCCATAATGCAGTCGACAGGAATTTCGGCACATGGGGTTTTGGCGCAGTTGCTATCTGGTTTTTTGTGAATTGCAGCGGCTGTCTCCTTCGTTGGGACTGGCGGCCCATAATTGCCGCATTGCTAGAGATAAGATCTTGGTCCAAACACCGCCATTGGCACTATGTTTGAGGGCCCCTTGCCAGTGTGTTGTTCGTGTTGAAGTAGACTTGCGATGGCAGGCACATGCAGGCACCAGAAACTCATGCCTGGAGAACTACCACTGGTGATCATATGCGGATTGAGTTTGACTCTCCGGCTAGTGTTTTCGCTCCTGCAGGAGGAACAGGAAGCTGCCTTGCGACAGTCTGCTTCATAGCACCAAGGTGGAAAACGCCCTGAAAATGGAGCAGACCTGACTGTTGTGAAACGGTTCTTGAAAACTTTTCGGCTGTTCCCCGGCCACATCCCTGAAACACCTGTTGTTTGAATGTGAACAACTGGAGCCACCGCCGCTGGCGGAGTGGTTCAGTCACCGGATGACCACAGACAGCAAGCATTGGATGCGGGGCGTTAAGCGTGGACAGGTATTTCTGAGCGAGTGCTTGATGGTTTGGCTGAGCATGCAGAAGTCGGTGGCCTATGGGCTGATACAGAAAAGCTGGATGGCGCCCAATTTTTCTCTGGTGTCGATGCCAACGGACGTTCCCGTAGCAAGGACGCTCGTATTTTCCTTTGTAGTTGGGGAACTTCTGCCATGGCACTGAATGGCACAGGACGATGGCATAGAAATGCTTGCAAAAGTGGTTTGCTCCCAAGGCGAAAGCAGCTGTTGTTGGAGCCGAATCATTAAAAAAACTTATGCCGAAAGCCCTCATCCACAAAACTGGCTCCAACAAGCAGCAAACCCGTTCCCAAAACAACACATGGTGCACAACCCCTAAACTCTACACCTTACTCAAAAACCCTGCTCCCAAGACACTGATGGCTAACAGCCGAAACCTGAGCCCAAAGAACACCATCATACCGTACCCAACTTGAACCCGAAACAAAACCCAGAAAAGAGCGGCGGATACAAGACGGACAGCCTCACTGGATTCATGTACGATGTGCCGAAACCTGTGACTTTCGGCACAACGCAAGCATTCGTAACCTGAAAGCATGCGATGGGCAGAAAACCATGGTAAAAACGAAATGTAAAAACCGTTGCAACTGAACTTCAAATTTGGAAAAATGATGGAGCTGCACCTTAAAAACAAGTTTAACAAGCCTTCATGTCAAACCAAAAACAAAAGGCGCAAAAGACCAAAACCCTTAAAAAACATATGGAAAAACTTTCATCCGCAAAATGGATTCCAACGAGCAGCAAGCCCTGTCGACAAAAACCCACACGTTGCACAACCCCAAAAATTGAAGCCGTAACCACAAGCCCTAGCTGCCAGAACGATGGCTGGCAGACAGCAGCTGAGCACCAGAAACAGCTGTCATAACATACCCCAGTTAAACCCGAAAAAAAAGTGACGGTAACCAGCCGGAAAACCTCACTGGATTTGGGGCACGATGCGCCGAATCCTGTGACCTTCAGCACACCACGATCCTCCACGGCATGCTGGGTAGCATGGCAAAATCAGACATGATGAAATCAACGCCTCCCTTCAAAAGCATGAGTTTTGGAGGTGATAAGTAACCTAATCCACAATTTGAACTCAGAGAAATGACAGAAAAGCCACCTGCACCTGAGCAACACAACTGAGAGGCCACGGCGGCAGCAAACCACCAAGAGACAAAAGGGCACTTCAAACCAAAAACCCTTCAAAAATCTAATGCCGAAACCCTCATCCACAAAACTGACTCCAACAAAAAACACATCGTGCACAACCCCTCAACTCTACACCTTCTTCACGGCTAGCAGATAAGCCCTGAGCCCAAAACAACAATCATACCATACCCGAGCTGAACGCCAAAACGAAATCGCAAGAGAGCAGTGGCTACGAGACAACAACCTCGCTGGATTTCGGGCACGATGTGCCGACTCCTGTGACCTTCAGCACACTGCAATTAGTCTTAAGCTGCAAGCATGCGATGGGCAAGCAAAACATGGTAAAAACGGACGTGAAACGAACATGAACAGACCCTTGAAATTGAACCTCAAATTCGGAACCTTGGCCTACAGCCTGGGAGACATTCAATATCACTCACGAAACCTGAACAATGATGCGTAACTTAACCCGGAACTCAAAAAATTACAGGAAAGCCAACTGCACCTTAGAAACAACTTTACGAAGCCGTCATGGCAGCAAACTAAGAAACAAAAGCGCGCAAAACCCAAAACCCTTCAACAACTTATGGGAACACCCTCATCCACAAGACTGGCTCCAACGAGCAGCAAGCCCTTTTTACAAGTAACCACACGGCGCATAACCTCAAAGCTTGAAACCTTACTCACAAAGCCTAGCTGCCAAGACGATGATGGCCAGCAGACAGCAGCTGAGCACCAAAAACAGCTGTCATGAGATACCCTAGTTAAACCCAGAAAAGAGTGACGGTCTGGTACGAGCCGCTAAGGAAGGTGCAGAAGGTGGATACCGTGCCGGTAGCTGCCTTCAGAAGCTACGCCAGCAAAGCTAGTCATGGAGGATTGCATACAGAAAGCCAGGGATGAGCGGTTGCCAGAGGCTTGGACTGGTCACTCGCAATGCGATCTGAAAAAACACGATGCTCAGGAAGCTGGAGGGCAGCCTCGACCCAATACGAACCGCTAGCCTGGTGGCAAGGAGAAGCAGCCGTGACGTTGAAACACTGCGTCAATGGCGGCTATGGTTGGGGTAGGCTAAGCTACGGCTGCGTCCTGGACGGCCAGCGGACCTTGTGGACTACCTCCTCACTAGACAAGACCTGGCCCGTGGAAGGCCCGTGCCGATGTTGACTGTCGTTACCTGCATGGAAGGAGTGGCGGAGTTCCCGCCAGAACACTGAGATCTGCCGCTGTCAACAAGAGTGAAGCTGACGGACTCACATGCTTCCATTCTGATATATCCTGCATCCTTGTAGTCCTGGGATTGGAGGTGCATGTGACACTTGTAGCAAGGCTCGCTTCCTCCTTCCGTCCAAGTCGTTCCACTTGCTCTTTTTGATTTGAAGTACAGCAGCGAGGCCTGCTCACTAAGCCCCGTGCTTGCTATCATTGCTATCTCCTGGCCATTCTGTTCTACTCTGATAGAATTGGGGGAAGGTCCTAGCCAAACGGGCCATAAATACCGCTAATCATGATCCCTTCCCCTTTCACAAAGCTAGCGGCAGCTAGCGCAAACACCCTTGGTGTCTAGTGACACACCTTCTGAGCTCTTGGTCGCTAGGTCACGCGCGCACCAGGACCCTGGTGGCCACGTGATATACGAATTGCAATATTTCCTAGGGAGCTAGCTAATTTCTTAGCAAAAATTGGTATTGACAACACCCCAAACACTATTAACGACCTGAACCGAGAGTGAAGTTGAAGCGCTGCGGCCAAGGCACGGAGCTCTGAAACTCAAGGCTTTGGGCATCATACATCATACGTAAGGGTCGTCGACGTGTGTTCATGAGCATGTAATTATGTAGCGACTGAGATCTCTGTGGTAGTCATGACACACAAGACATAGAAGGCACACGCAAGATGTACTACATCAAAGACTCATCAGGCATTTTAAGCACGTAATACCTTTAAGACACATGTGCGTCCATGTGGAGCATGTAAGAGAGACAGCACATGCAATACATCGCGGCTCGATCACTGCAGCTGTTTTTTGGGTGCTTGCTCCGGTTGGCAGAACGTCTTCGTGTCAGTTTTTCAAGACTTCTTTGAAGATGACTCTGGGCAGCTTTCCCTGCACATGGATATGCCGATAGCACCACTGAAATGTCCACTTGCACTATTCAGGGTTCAAGCCGTCGCACAAGCGCTTGTGCAAGGACCTAGGGATGAATGCCTTCAGGGACTGCCAGGTGCGATCGATGCACTGTGTGCCTGCGAGCTCGGAGACGCCTTTTGGCTTTCGGATGATGCACGGCCTCAACTCTGCCTGGCCAGTTTTCGCCAATGACTGGCTCCGTCTGCGTAGATTGCTGCTTTGCCCCGATGCAGAAGTCTTTCCGACAACTGAGCGTCACAGACATCTTTCCAACTCCCAGGCCCGGGAGCCCGTGGCAAAGTGGCCTGAGCGTTTTGTATGGCTGGGCGGGGAAGCTTGGGGCCTAGAACCCATAGGAAGTAAGATGATCATATTAATCATTGTCTGTTGCGTCTTTATAGTACTCCTAAATAAAATATTCCCCACAAGCCACAGTAGTTAGATAAACATGTTAAGTGTCGCCTACTGTCCGTTCCCTGCTGCGCCCACAAGCCATAAGGAAGTAAGATTGCCTACTGCCGTTCCCTGCTACGCTTAAATAAAGCTTGCCCACAAGCCGGAGGCAGAAAGGCTACAACCGTTCGACCGCCTCGTTCTTTGAGGCCAATGATGCGCACATGGATGCATAGTGTCACGGGCAGCTTGCGGCTGACCTTGCGCAGCTCCTCGACCTCTTTGCAAAATGCGACAGTGGTATCCTTGATGCGGAAACGCCGAGAGATGTTGAGTCTCCTTCCACATTGCCCTGCAGCACCATTGTCCTGCATGTCTTCTAGACTCTCGTACGGCAGACATTCGCGGTCCAGGGTCAGGATGCTGCGCACCGTCAGCGCGGGGCACACTTTAGCAACCCATTCCTGAAGAAGACAAGACATTAGCAAAAAAAGAACTGTCCTGACTACGTGGAAGGCAGCACCAAGGTCAGGGCGGCGGGGCACTCGAATATCGAAACCGCGAGGCATGATTGGCGAGCCAAATAAGACGCGGTTGTAAACGCGACGAACCGAGCATGACGATGACAGCGCAGGCACATCTGGAGCAGCTACGGTCAAGCAGAGAAACCGAGAAGAAGAACCCGCCGCATGGTTTTTTGTCGGTGATTTTTTGGTGAAGTTGTGTTTTCGCTACAGTTTTAAGCAGATTTTAAGGTTGTTTTGGGTAGGAAAAAAAGTGCTACGTTTTCTGTGAATCCTCGGAAACGTGTGGTTTCAGCACGATTTCGGGTTCCATAAAAAATGTTACATCATCGCACGGTGAAAGTT